CACTTTTGGATCATTTGTTACAGTGTGTGACAGGGTGATTACACACCACACTGTGAACGGTTAACAGTGTAGCATATTTATATTCAGACAGTGAGATAAACAGTAGTCTAATGCTGTGTGTGTATGTGAGGATTAGCATCCATTAGCGAAGCGTGACAAGTGAGGTGTATTATTTTAGCTGGGTAGTTCTGCACCATGTGTTTGACTACAAAATTGTAGGGATTGAACTGAAAATACAGTGATAAATGTGCAGTCCTCCACAGGACCGTGGTGGAATGCTGATGTAAATAAGTGTGAAGAGCAGACACCCGATCCCTGCTGCTGGTGGTGTCTGTGTGGCTACGTAGATGGGTAACTTGCCTGCCAAAGGTGGGTCCTATAAAGGCGGGGTGGCGAAACATGGCAGCCGTGCCCAGGAAGGTGCCCAGGCCGAGTGGTGTGGCCAGAGGTGGAGCAGCGCCGTTGTGAGGTGGTGGGGCCAGACCTGGGAATGCTGCGGCTGCGGCTGCAGCTGCAGTCCAGGCCGACTCCAGAGCTGGGTGAGGATGGGGAGGAAAAGGGCCTCCCTCTAGGTAGTGGCTGAGAGGGTGACCCGCTGCTAGGGGTCCAGGAAAGGGCAGACCTGAAGGATGGGCCTGTACTCCAGCCTTTTCACGCTTCCTCCACTTGGCTCTGCGGTTCTGGAACCAGACCTGAGGAAAGACAGAGAACTGTTAAATCTCAGCCATAATATGATTAGTCAACAAATATCAGACAACTACATAAATAATCAGCTTCCTCTCTAATACAGTAATCCCTGTTTAAACTGATGAAAGACCCTAATGATATATTTATATATGGAACAATGGGCTCCAGGATATATATAAATATTAAAAAAATATGACATTTAAAAATGTAACTTTTAAATCAGGCCTCCCTGGATTATACAATTCATTGAAAAAAAAGTATTGTATTTTTAAAATAGTTAATACAGTTACTTTTTTACATTAAAAAAAATAGAAATTAGCTATTTACAAAGTCAGGCCTGGGGACCAATCACAGTACATAGAATGGATGTGGCCCTAGCTTTTTCTAAAAAGAAAAAAAATTAAAATTATTAAAATTAAATATTCATTCTGGATAAAAAATACTTAAAAGAAATTTAATTTTTTTTTATTTTGTCAGGATTTTTGGGATAGTCCATCTCTTTTTCTCTTTTTTTTTTCATTTTTGCCATATTTATTAGACCAGAAAATGCTAACTCTTTCCACTCTTTTTATTTATTTTTTGATTAACTTTTTTTTACTTCATGGCTTTGGTAAAAAATTTAAATGGAAGCCTCCTTTTTAGAAATCATTTGGCAAATTATATTCATTCACAATAGCTGACATTTGCCTGTGGAATTTTCTATACTATCAGCGTTCTTATCGCACTGTGCTTTTACCAGTAATGCTTTCAAGAGCTACAGTAGACAAGACAAGAAAGGATGTGTAGGAAGTTACTTGCTTTACAACCCTTGGGATATCCTGATTTATTATATATTAGTTATAATATTTTGGAAAAAAGTTGTTTTTAGCTGAGTTTCTTAAATTAATTTACCCCCAAAATATATGGGTTTATTATGCAGATAAATATATTACAATCCATCTTTGGACACCACTGCTAGGTGTGTTTTGTAGTGAAAAGAAATTGCTCTCCTGCTTCAAACAGACTAATGTTCTATTGTAGTCACTGGACTGGTGCGTCACTGCACAATAATACATGTAATACATGTGTAGTTCAGGTGGTGGCCAACAGGCGGAAAGTCAACGGTAATTACTTGTAAAAGTAAACCCTGCCGTTCACGCTCCTTTAAATCTACTTTCTGTCTAATTAAGCTCTCCCTCCATCCGTGCACAAGCGGGGCCTCGCTCAGGGAGGGGAGAGAGGGAGATAATTAAGAGCGGTGTTAACAAAAGAGCCAGAAAATTACCGCCGAACTGGCTCCAATAACAATTAATGCGCTTTAAATTAAATTCTTAAGAGACGCAGAACAAGTGACTTCCATCACAGGGACTATTTAACTTTCCCACGCATCCACCGGTGCCCAGTTTGCACTGCAGAAGCACGGGGCTCTTACAATGAGGAAAATGTCAACATGAGAGCAAAGTGATAGAAGCAGGCGGCTTGAGCGACAGGCACTGCACACACACACACACATACACACGGACATTATTCCCAGGGGGCTGTTTAGCATTACACAGCCCCTGGGGAATTTATGAGTTTTTATCACCTCCTGATGGCGCCCGTTAAGTGATTTGTTCACCTAGTGGCCCTAAAGAGACATCTGTTGTTTTACCGTGGGCCATAACCTCCCGGAGCTTCCACCGTGTTTGGATTGTCTCTCTGGTTATGAGGCCTGGCTTTGGACATGCAAGCCACGCATTAAGTGAGAGGGAAAAAAAGTGATGCGGTGGGAGGTAGGGAGGGAGGGATGGATGGATGAAGAGAGAGTGGAGGTGTGAGGGCGGAGGGGAGCGGGGAGCAAACACCTTTAATGGTCTCTCATTCGCTCCCAAGTGCAAAGCATCGGATCAATGCGGGTCTATTGCAATCATATAATGGGAAATCAAATAGCATTATCCCTCCCTTCGCCCCCCACCCTCCTCCTTTCCTCTCTGCGCGCACACACACACACACTTCCATCTCGGCCTGTCTGTCCTTGCACTGATGGGAATCCAAACACCATCTCCTCGCAGGAACATGGACACTGTTTGCTCCTGCACTAAGTGAGCTTTTTATGAATCGCCAGCTTCGCCATAATTGCCTCTAAAACGTCCCTCATCCGCGCGTAATAACATTCAATAACAGGAAAGACCTTCCCTGCGCACAGACTGGGGGCCATTTAACACATTTCTACTGTCATAAATTACTGCCAACAAATTGGCTCATAATCGTTCATCTCCAATCAGTGACGCATATCACCGGTTATTATACCCTGGGACGTTCTCAGATGATGTGAAACATTAAAGAGGACGCTGCTCTCTTCCTCTGCCTCCCCCAAATGTTTGATTAACGAGTCACAGGCGAGTCTTTTTCCCGAGGACACTTACTTGAACACGGGCCTCCGTGAGATCCAGACGCATTGCGAGCTCTTCTCTGGAAAGAAGTAATGAAAAAGAAAGATGAAAAATCAGAAAGATAAAATTGGAAGAAAAAAAATCAAGGTTACAGGTCAAGGTTTGAAAGCAAAGTAGAATTGCTGTTTGGTCCCCCTGCTATTGTTCACTGTCAACAGACGACCAAAATAGGCTGTTTTCTCCCCCTCCTTCTATCTCTGTCCTCTCCCTGCATGAAGTGCAAGAAAGACGCCATGGCCATATTCTATTTTCCCTGTCATGGATGAGTAGAAATAGGCCTAGTGATTGTTAGATTTTCCTTTAGCCTGGGCCTGTCACTGTAACAACATAATGGCTGAAATAATGACATCTAAACTAGCCTGCCACAAAGCAATCCACGCAGCCTTCAGCCGCTGCAATAGACGGAGCTCGCGCCACAAATTAGAGCTCGGAGTCATGGTCTTAAAGCGAATCGATTGGAAAATATGAATACTCACAAAGATTTAAGAGATATAATATACTACGTAGCATAACAAATATAATTTCTGCACCAATATATGTCTGCATTCATACATGCTGCCTTAGAGATTTGTATAAAATAGTTCATTTTGTTGCAGAAATCCCCATTGACAACACACAGCATGTATAGAATTCTTCCTCTGTGTAATTTACACCATGGTTTTAAACTCATTCCCTGGATTTTCTTTTCTTTCCTCCTCTTCTACACTCAGTATCGTATGGCTCACCTGAGCTGCAAAGGTTAATTTTTCTTCCACGAGAATAATGCGCGCTGTCATGTGCGGATACAGGTGTAACAAAACGTCCCTATTGTGCCCTCACTTACAGGCCTATTGTGTTCGTTTGTGCAAGGCACGGGTTTAGTGTAGGGGCATTTTGGTGAGGCGTGATCCGCACAGTGTTGTTTTACAATCGTTTGGAATTACGTGTGTTGGTGAACTGTTTTTCCCCCCTTAATATTTTCTCACTGTGAGTTGTTAAAAATAGACGCAATCCATTTTTTTTACCGTGCATTGACGATCAAATGCATTAAATATATTTTTGACTATTCATATTATATATAAAACTAAACATATAGTAGTCGATAATAATAATTATTATTAATATATTATTATTAAAAATTAATTGTGCGTTTTTTGTAGAAATATATAGCGAGTCACATTAACATTTGGCCATTTATAAATGCTTAATTTCAGCAGTATATCTTCATTATACTATTTTACAATAACAATAATAATAACAAATAATAATAATAATAATAGCTTGATCAAATTTGTCTGATTATTACAGCATTTGTATTTTTTTCTGCGTGAAGTATTTCTGACCTGGTGAACACGTCGGGATAGTGCGTCTTTTGGAAAGCCCTCTCCAGCTCCTCCAGCTGATAACTGGTGAACGTCGTCCTGTATCTTCTCTGCTTTCTTTTCAGCATCCCTTCCTCCGAGTCACTGCCCGCCGACAGACACACACTGTCCTCCCCGTCCCTCACGTCCCCATCTCCGGCGTTCAAACTCTCCCTCTCCTCGTCCTTCGGGGACAGTGCAGCCGCGTCCGCGCAGCTCTCCACTGCCTCTTTACCGGCCTCCTCGAATTTCAGCGGGCCCAGTTCCACTAAACCCAGGCTTCCGTCCTCGGAGCCCTCCTCCGCGCTCTGGTCACCCTCTCCGCCCCGGCTCAGGGACGCGTTCTCCCGGTATGACTTGCTGCGGCTGATGCTCACCTGCGGAGCCTGGCTGATTTTGAGGCCGTCGCCGGCTTGCTCCAGGAGGAGCCGCTGCTCTCTGTCCAGCTTCACCGTGTGCTCGTGAAGGTACTTGCCGCCGCTGGGTCCGTACAGGCGGCGCAGCTTTGGTGGCAGGTGGATGTCAGCAGCTGTGAGGGACAGCGGGTCTTTCGTTGGCCCTGAGAGAGAATGAAAAGCATGTCAAGAATTTTAAAACTAATAAATAGCCCAATATTTTTGCTTTATAAAGACATTTTCAGAAGAAACCCATAACTTTACAACTTGTATTGGAGTGTGGCCTGCTTAAGAAACTAAAGATAACTTCTGGAAAACGAAATCAAACCTCTTTAAAAGATGTTTGGTCTTAAAATAATATTGAAATACACATGTCAGTGTCTGTAAATGGAACCTACCGTCGGCGGCTTTATCCAGCTCCCCTCTCCCCGGTAGACTTGACAAACTTTGGGCTCCTATCAGCCGGACCTTACAAGGGCTTCGGCGGCCCAGAATGCTCTCTATGCAGTAAGAGGAGAGCAGGGTCGGAGACTTGCTGCTCTTCCTCTCGCCTCGGTCGTGGAGCTCGTCCTCAAAGTGGCCGCTCATATCGACGCTTTGGTTTGCCTAGAATTTCAGTTACCGCCTGTCTGTCACTCTGCGTCCTTCTCCCCTTCTTTACTTCACTCCAGGGCCGGTGTATCTGTGTGTGTTTGGACCGTTCACTCCTCCCTCCGTTTCTCTCTTCTCTTCTGTCTTTCCACTCTCTCTCACTGTCACTCTATGTCACTCTCTCAGCTGGTGACAGACAGCGGGGTTATGGCTATGTGCGCTCGCTCCCTGTCGTCTGATTGGCTCCTATCGCGCACGCTCCCTGTCGCCTGATTGGCTCTTGTACTGTGCGTGGATGCGGAGAGACACCGCGCGAGGCAGCTTTATATATATTTTACCATTACAGTTAATTTGAGGGAAAGACAGCAAATCCCGACATGGATTTTTACAAAATCTATTATCTGCTCCACGGAATGAACCGATAAAAGGTACCGTCACAGTAGCAAAGCAACTTAGTGAAATTAGCATTTACTATTTACAATAACCATCAAACATTACGTTTAATAGTTTTGACTGTATTTTAACCAAACTCTCGTCGGTCTGTTTTAGCTTAGCTTATTTCCTACTAATGACCGTTACATTCGAACTGCTTGTCTATGCCATTTTAATCATGATTTTATCATTTTTCAGTGCCCTATAAACAACTTTTGCTGTATTTTGAGTTGTTATAGGTAAAACATAAGTGGGATGAGACTTTTTTGGGTTGGTTTGTGTTTCCATATTTTACCCCTGCTCCAAAATAACATTTAAAATTAACAGTCTCTTGACCTATTCAAAAGACATGTGGCTAATATCTATAACATTTTCAGGTCTCTTTAGAATTTAATAAAAATGTATGTCACATTTTTTTCCAATTATACATGTATAAAGTTAATATAACCACACATGTCACCAAAATATATGAGGAATTCCATTTGCTGTAGCTCACCAACCATCCTCTAGTGAAAGCGCTTGGATTAATATTAATTCCTGGATATATTCTGACTAAATGTTACAGACGACAACAACTACTACAAAGTATTTTTTATTTTGCAAAAATATCGTTTTGACGTTTTGCAAAAGATGTACCATTAGAACATGATTTTAAGTGACGTATACAGTAGAGATATTCAATCAGCTGGTGTTGGTTAAGGGGTCAGGTGTTTACGCCGTAGCATTATTGACCAATTTGATTCACTGGCAAATTTAAATAGCAATATTTTTTATAATATGAATTTATTTATTTACCTATTTAGCAGACATTGTTCAAATAACAATTATATATTTCATTTTTATATATATAAACCCAACTACTATGACCACTAATGATGATAATAATAATAATAATAATAATTAAGTATGGATAAAAAATAAGTATAATCCTACCTTACTGAATCCTGCTTAACCTATTTAACTGAATGTATTCACAACGTCTTCAAACGTTCAGAATCCCTGTACCAGAATGAAAAAGAAATCTGGCTCGGATTTTGTGATCAGCCTCAGCCTGAGAGCACCTGGGAAATCCTGATTAGAGACTCAGTCACAGAGAAATAAAAACATCAAAATTGGGATGCGATATCTGAAGTGGACCGAGATGCTGCTGCGTTCGAATAATTTTGTGTTCTGACAGAAAAGCATGGACTGAAAGGCCTGTCTATCTGTCCGTCCCCCGCTCTCTGGCTATGCGTCTGTCTGTCTTTACCTGCCTCCTTCCCTCCCCTCTCCTCCCGTCCCCTCCACCCTCCCACCCTGATGCGCCCTGCTGGAGTTTGGGGATTGACTTTAAAAGTGCGGGTGACGCTGCGTGCGGTGATGAGACGCCGCACCGGGAGCCACGCACGCACACACGCGCACGCAGGAGGGCCTCGGCAGTGGAGAGAATGAGGAGGGAGGGAGATGGATGGAGAGATGGATCGAGAATGTAATTTTAAATGAAAGTCTATTTAACCCGCTGCGAATGGCGTGACCTCCATCCTCGCCTCAGAACCCATCACTGTTAAAAGGATCATTTTCAGAATTCAATCCAAAAACTTCAGCGAGCTGCAATTTACTCTCTCCTGCTTCTTTCTGTCTCTTCTCTCCTCTTTCCCCGTGTTATGTATCTGCTTGGGCCGCAGTAAACGAAAAATAACAATAAAAAGAACGTCCAGAGAAATTGCACATGTAATTTTTTTTTCATCTTTTGTGTGCATAAAGCAAGCCTTCTTTTATTACTGGCTAAGACAACAGGGCAGTGTGTGCAGAAATCCTAAAGTGAAAACATGGAGGTCAAATATATCATCTTATCTGAGGCCTGGATTTTATAAAACAATGTTAATTCCAGGTTATATGTATTATTGTCAGCCGTAGCGTTTTGTCATATCCACAACTTATTTTTCGTGTCAAAAACTTCCGAGCGTGTTTACTTGTAGGCAAATCAACGTAATGAATGTAATAACAATATAAAATGTTATGCCTTTTCCTTCCCCCACGCACGGTCACAAACAGACGTGCGAAATACAGACGAGTATTTAGAGTCGCTCTGTAATTTGGGGGCCACGATTTGATTCATTTATCCGCACACTGTTATTAACCCTGTGGAAAAAGAGATGTCAGCCGCTATTTCAGCCAGCAGGACACCCGCGCTTTGTTTAAATGCACTAATTACGCGCATACATTAGACAGGGGCCGTTATAGACTGAGCGCAATTTTCACATTTCCAATTTTCCGTCTATTTGACGCGCAGGTGAGGAGATGGAGAAGGGGAGAGAGATGGGCCTCCTCCTGCTGCAGCCTCAGCAGCACCGCCTCCCCTCTGTTTTATACAACAGTCTAACCCGATAGACCTAATATCCTCATATCCGGGCTGCATGCTTTCCTGGTCATGCAGAGGCTCAGACGCGAGCTGCTGTGCCACTGTATATTTTTACACTCTGGAAATCCATGTGGTGCCGTGTACTGGGGGGGCAGGGGAGGATGCCTGTCAGGCTATTAAAATGAGACAGCACGGCTTATTTGCAGATTAATATAGATTATTATTATGGGTGGATTAATGAGGCTCCCATTTTTATGTGTCAAATGCTCCTTGTCTAGGCTCTTTTCAGGAAGGGACAGTGAAGTCGGTCATCTGGGACCAGCAGGTCGGCCTGTGTCGTGCAGGTCATCCTGTTGGCGCCATCTCCTGGGTGTAAAAGTGAAGCGTTAGAAACACATCTAAGTTAAAAGAAGTTTGCCTTGTACCTAACTATCAGTCTTCAAGACACTACTGTGACGTTATTGGACTTTGCTCTTAAAGGTGGCTTTATTTTGACAGTCATCAATGATGACAGCTTTGTTGGTCTGTTCATATTTAGGTTCTAAATTTTTTTTGCAATATCTACTTTCTAGCTGTCTTAAACCTTTCCAATTTAGATCATTGTAATGTTTTTGGTGGTCTAAATATTAGTCACATTTTGCTTATTTATTTTTGGATCTTACGGGAGAAATCTTAGACTCATATATGACTTTTTATCAGTCTAATGTATCAACTGCAAACATACAGTTCTTGTCCACACTATATACACTTGATGTACCCTGAATTTCCTGTGCACACATTAATTCAAATGCTTCATTATTGTACCTTTAAACAAAATTATATACTACATGCTCACTGTGTTGTATTCCAGTACTAATCTAATGTACTATAATTGTCCCACAGGCTTGTTCCAAAGCAACACGTGTAAATAACAGGCCTATAACACGCACCAACAGGCTGATGGCTGGTGAGGAAGAATCATCATCCTCCATCCTCCATCTCTGACATAATTGGACACTTGCTCTGCTGGAGAGGCCAAGCAGGAAAAGGCAGAGGGGAGGGGGAGAAGGAAAGAAAGTAAGTGTGAAAGAAAGTAAGTGTGTATGTGTGTGTGTGTGTGTTGGAAAGGAGGAGGGAGGCTTTTAAGGCGCGCGTAAGCAAAGTTAATTAGCGGTTATTAACAGCCCGCATAATGAGAGCGAGAGGGAGTCAATTTAATGACTTTGTTAGCGCGGGTTCAGAACGACAGGCGATGATCGAAACAACAAAGGCGAGAGCGCACGCAGCCATCATCCGTAATTTCCAGCGGTAATGCGGTCTGATCAGAAACAAAGGCTTCTAATTTCGTTCAACTGACTCGATAATTTGTCCTTATGTAAGGAAAATAATTAATGACTTAATGCTTCAACAGAAGGAGCTTTCTGTGGTACTCGGGGGCCCGTTTGCTGGAGAAGGGTCGCAGGGAAATCAATTTTCCAGGCCTATAATTATTTACATCATGGGGTTAGGACGCAGACGTGAACCTTTGCTTTGCACAGGTTGGTGTGCAGAGAAGTCCAAATCTTCAACCCCCCCCAACACAGAGAGTGTATGACAGCACAAATGAGCCACTCGTGCAATGCTACATAGAACGAAAATGATGCGTCATTAGGAAGGATGGACATCAAACCCAAATTTAACAGCATTTCCAGAGCAGCTGGTGTCAAACTCATTTACACCAAGGGCCACATCAGCATCATGGTTACCCTCAAAGGGCCCTTTAACTAAAATACTACTAAATGAAACTAACCTATTTTACAACCCTATTTAAATTGGACTTTTTTATTTCAATGTAAATTATAACTACTATCATGATAAATATCAATGATCACACTAAGAACATGGCTGACAAGTGTTTTTTTTAAACAAACGACTGCTCCAGGGGGCGCTCGAGACATATAGCTAATGAGAGTATATTTTATTGGTACTTCAACAATCCAAAACATGAATTGAAAGGATATCTTTCAGAATAACTCTATCGGAACTGTTTACTTAGAAGATGCGCTGATAGGGGTGATTGAAGTTACTCGACAGGCAGGATCTGGTCTGTGAGCCATACGTTGGACACGGGGCCTAGAAGATCTTCAGTCTCGCCTCTGACCTCCCTCATGTCTGTCTCCAAAAAGCCAACATTGGTTCAGCTTGTTGCACAACCACTGCACTGCAACATTATCTAAAGCCTGCGCCTTTCTACGCATGAGTTCATCACTCTACAGATGGGTCGAGTTGGATGAGAAGATGCAAGCACTATTATCGATTAAGGGGAACATGAGCCGCCTGTGGGCCACTCTTGGATTCATTGCAGGTGCATAGGTCACCCACACGAAAGCAGCAATTTCTCAACCCCCATTGTCTTCACTGATTACTGCTTTGAACACAGAGATCTAGAGCCGGAGACTCTCGTAAGAGCCGGCTGCTGAGTCCAGGAGGCTGTGAGCTGAAGAGGTCATCATAACCATCATCTGCAACATCATCATCATCACCACTACTACCATCATCATCATCATCGTCATCATTATCATCATCATAAAAACTACCATCATCACCACCGGCATCTTCCTCATCATCATAACCACTGGTTGACCACGAAAAACCGAGGCTCCCTGTGTTTTCTCAACCGTCTTGCCCTTTTATTGATTGCGTGCCTTAATTTTAATTCAATTGCGCGTGTCAAAAATATACCACAAGAATCATCCCAGTAATGAGATAATCAAAGTAATATATGCAAATCAGTTATG